GAACACCCATATATGTATAAGGAAAGCCTTTATATATTAAAGAGTAATTGTACATCAAGAAAGGATCCCAGCCCAGTCCAGATGAAGTCCATAAGTCTGATACTGGTCCGTAAACCCCTCTTCAGACTTGCAGCTACATGCAGTGAGGCAGCATGAAGGAAGGTGGCAGGCCGGCGGGTGCAAAGTCCTGTAGTTCCAATGGCAGTGGGTGCATCTCCAGAGCTCTGGATGCCATCAGCGCGGCTCAGTGGTTTGTCAGCAGGAAGGTGAAGCAGAGAGAGAGTGTGGCCCGTCTCCAGGGAGAAAGAAGGAGGCCAGCCGCCGTAACCATTGAGCCACCTGGACTCTTCTATCTACGTTGTTTGTCTTTCCCATTCTGACGCATAGTAACCCTATAGGACAAGGTTGAACTGCCCCTGTAGGTTTCTGAGACTGTAAAGAGCCTCATCGTTCTCCAGGGGAGGCCGTTGGTTTCGAGCTGCTAACATTGCCGTTCAGTACAAGTAACCACTAGGCCACCAGGGCTCTGCGTATATCCCATAAGGCCCTTATTGGCCATTTTTATTGTGTGCACCAGTACAGAGGCACAGAAGTTTGGGTGGTCTGTTTTACACGATGGGATCCTGCCATCTCTACCTTGCTGCTGTATCCTCTGCGCTACATGTCTATGAGGTCTACCTTTTAAAAGCGTTTTTTAAAGGAGAGGATACTGCCCAGAAAAACACAGATTCAAGGTGATCAGCAACTCCAGGCAGCCACTACCTGGGTGAGGTCAATCCACTTCCCAAAGCCAGACCCCCTCCCTGTCACTGGACACTAGTGCTCCACTTGACAGAAAGGAAGCCACAGTGTGGGGGTTCGGTTTGGCTGCTCCTCCAGAGCACTTTGGCTGTGAGATGTTGCCTCGCAGTGAATGTAGCTGAGTGGGCCCCTGGTTGTCGACCCTGCGCAGGGTACCGCTCCATCACCCCTGGACGTGGTGGGCGTTTCTGCGGGAGTGCCTCTCCCGCACGTCCACGTGTGTGAAGTGGCCTGTGTTCCACGTGCTGGAAGTGAATGGTTCCGTCTACACGGTTTCTGCTCTTTTTTCACGACTGCTGTCGGGCAGTGCCCCCCTGGGTTGCACCGTCCTGGCTTGCTCACGGTGGCATTCACTGGTTTTCAGCCCTCTCCACTCACTCACTGCTGAGTCGGCTTCCTTCTGGCAGACTCTTCTTTTCTAATCTGTAAGTTTGTTGCCACTTTCTAGATACAAGCCCTTTTGTCCACATGCTCGAGTGCTGTTGTCTGTGGCTTGTCAGTTTACCTCTCTTAAAAAGCTTTCCTGTGGTGTTTCCGATACTATGCACTTGGGAAGCTTTGCCTACCCAAAAGCCCTGGCAAAAATCTCAAACCTTCGGAGCTGGTTTAGCTTAAGGCTTACGGGAGGGGAGGGAGGTCACAGAACAAGTATCACACTGCGTTGTTTCTGAGTGGCAGTACCTGTTCAGAGAGACTTTGTTTCTGTTTCGAGCAGTCAAGGGGGCCGGTGCCCTCTGCCAGTCCCAATGAAATGTTTCCGGTCTTGGGAGCCCTGCAGATTTGCCCTCTTACCCTGGCAGGGAGCCTTGTGGGATCTTGATCAAAAGCCTGAGGTGCTTGTTGGGCCCCATGCACTGGGAGGCCCTGAGCCCCAGATGATCACTCTGAGGCTGTTGCCTGGGGAGGTCTCTGGTTTGAGTCCCCCAGCTGAAAGACCTGCTCCCTAGAGGCTTAGGCTTAGCTGCCAGAACAGCCCTGCTCTGCCCACGTCTCTGTGTGTGTCGGCAACAGTGAGGATGGACATTGGGCAGCCAGCTCTGGTGGAGCCTGGTGGTGCTGTCGGGTAAGTATTGGACTCCTTAGTAACCAAGTTGGAAGTTCAAAGCTAGGCGCTCCTGGGGAGGGAGATGAGGCCATCTGCTTCCCGCCGGATTTATAGTCTTGGACACTCCCTATAGTGTCTCCGTGAATCCGACAGAATCCGTGTGGGTGGTGGGCTTGGTGGTCAAGACTGCTGAAAGCTTTGCCTGGTCAGTTTTTGTCCAGGGTTGACCTCAGGACTGGCCGGTCTCCTTGAGGAGAAGAGGGGGCCGAGGTGGGGCTCAGCTCGGTCTCTTTGTCTCCTTCCTGCCTTCTTTCAGGCTTAGCCCGAGTTCACAGCGTCACCCCACTAGTCGGAAAGCTCAGTGAACCTGAGACAGAACTCTGACTGGCTTCCCTTCCCTGGAACAAATCCTTCATTTCATTTGTCGTTTCTCCAGCATGGGCTTCTGCCCAAAGAACTTTGTTCCTTCTCTGCTTATTGGCTAGCGTTCTACACACGTACCGCACCCCCACCACAACACCACATCCCAATACCAGCAATTAATTGACTTTCTCCTCATGGATCTTTTTTACAAACAATGCCTTTTAACCACTTTAAAGGAAACTATGCAGTGATGAGCCCTGGGGCATAGCAGGTTAAACATGGGGCTGCTAACGGAAAAGTCAGCAGTTTGAGACTACCAGCAGGAGAAAGAGGAGGCTCTCTGCTCCCATCAAGAGTTACAGTCTCAGCAGGCCCTCCTGGAAGGGATGATCTATCCAGGGTGCAATATAGCACTGATGAAATACAAAACTATCCTCTAGCTCTTTAATATTTCCTCTCCTATTGTTTTGGTTTTAGTTTTATCTCATGAATCCTGTTAGACCTGCATATGTTCATGTGTATAATTAAGATCATTCGATGCATGAAATCCAAGATAGATAAGCCATTCAGGAACTGTAATGGGAGTAATGATAGGAAGAGGTGGAGGGGCGGGGGATGACTGTATAACCCCACTCTAGAGGAACAGATAACAGAAGGACAGGTGAATGGATACATTGGATGGTGTGAGATACTGTGGTGGGGGTGGGAATATTATATTGTTAAAACAAGGGTTCCAGGGGTGGGCGGAATAAAGGGGAGCTAATACCAAAGTGCAAAAAGAAAAAATGTTTTGAAAATGGCACAATCATACTTGATCTGTGGATTGCTATAATATCTGTAAGAGCTCTAAAAAAAATGGGGGGGGGGCAGTTTACAGTCTCAGAAACCCACAGGGGCAGTTCTAGCCTGTCATCTGGGGTTACTGTGGGTCAGAATTGACCAGATGTTGGTGGGTTTGGGGTTTACGTTTATGGCGGTGACGACGAGAGAACCTCAGCATTGGGTGAGAGGTCGGTGGCTGTGTCTCAACTGCGTGCTGGGACTCTGTTTGCCTTTCAGCCATGGAAGAGAAGGGGTCCTAGCTCGTCGCCCCTCTCGAGCCCAGCCTCCTCCCGCTCACAGACTCCGGAGCGGCCAGCCAAGAAGAGCAGGTGACTTGCATTCTTACCCAGCTGCGGTGGGCTGGACGGGGGCTGGCGGGGCACTGGCCAAGGAGAGGAGTTGGCTGGGTGGGCTCGGGGCGTTCTGCAGCTCTCAGCTGGAGAGTCAAAGGAATCTGCACCTGGGAGAAAGCTCGTGAAGCACCTCCCTCCCCGGTGGTTCTTGTCCCAGGCAGCGCAGACCTGCACGGCCGGTGCGCTGACCTCGGGCCTCGGCCTGGTGCTTGGCTGTGAGAGTAGGGCCGTGTGGAATAGGCTTCGTCAGCAGGCCGTCACCTCCCCAGGCTTGGCTCCTGTTCGCTCCTGCTTAAGCCTCTAGGGCAGTGGTTCTCAACCTGTGGGTCGAGATCCCTTTGAGGGTTGAACGACCCTTTCCCAGGGGTCGCCTAAGACCACCAGGAAAAGACATACCGTAAATATTTTACAACATATAATTGCATGTTTTGTGATTCATCAGTATGCTTTAATTGTTTAATTTGTAACAATGAAAATACATCCTGCATAGCAGATACTTTACATGGCAGTTCATAACAGAAACAAAATTACAGTTATGAAGTGGCAGCAAAAATAATGTTAGGGTGGGGGTCACCACCACACGAGGAACTGTACTGAAGGGTTGCAGCATGAGGAAGGTGGTGCGCCACTGCTCTAAGGATTTGAGTCCTTGGGGGTTAGAGCCGTATCTAAGACTCCCAGGAATGTGGCAGGCACTAACTCCAGCTTAAAAACCACCGTTTGAGTCTGTAAGCGTCTTGCTATGGCTCTGATGAGCCGCCTGCTTTTACGTCCATGCAGGAGTTCTTCTCCAGACTTGTGTTTGTTGTGTCCAGACAGGCTGAGCTCTGAGATCCTGACTTGCGGCATTTGGTCATTGGGGAGAGGCCACAAAATTATCCAAGACGCCCCAGTGAGCTCAGTTCTGCCCTTTCTTTTCCCCCCACCCTGCAGAGATGAGGAGACGAGTCAACAGCCCAGCGATGCACCTCCACCCCTCACGGACAGGGAGGCCCAGGGTGAGAGCGGTGAGCTGGACAGCGAGCGAGCGAGCGAGATGGGGCACAGCTTTCCTGGAGCTCCACGGGGAGCAGGGAGTTTCTGATGGGAGGGAGAGGACAGTGGGCCGGGGGTGCCGGGAGAAGCTCGGCTTGAGTGCTCCCCAAGCGGCCCAGGGCAGGGCGTCCAGGAAGCAGTGGGTTCTCTCTCACTGTGTCTTTGGGAGGGTTAGAAGTCATGGCCAGAGCTCTCCTCAGCCCCAGGAGCCCAGACCTTGGAAGATGGAGGGTGGGTAGGCAAAGCCTCCCTGTGGACCTAGGGCCAGTGGGAACCAGCCGGCGCTGCTCTCCTCAGTTGCAGATCCAGCTGTCCGGAAGAAGCAGGCCATGAGGACTTCCCCATCCATGCAAGGCAGCGTGGGGCAGCGAAAACGGAAGACCCCGCTTCTGCCCTCCAGGCGAGGGGACCAGTTGACCTTGGTAAGGGATTGTTTACCTGCCCCTCCCCTCATCCCAGCTTACAGCTCTCTGAGCCCTCACTCCCGGGCTGGGAGCAACCTGAGGAGGGGTTGTTCCTAGGAAGGTGAGCTGCCGTTGCCTGTGGCTGACCGAGCATGCCCGTTTTTTCCCCAGCCCCCCCCACCCCAGCTCGGCTACGCCATCACTGCTGAAGACCTGGACTTGGAAAAGAAGACATCGCTGCAGTGGTTCAACAGGGTCTTTGAGGAGAAGACAGGTGAGGCGTGCTCCACAGGCTGATTTTAGGGCCACCCTCTACTTGGGGGCTGCTTAACAGAAGGCTTCCGGTGGGAGCGGTGTTGGTTTTCTTGTGGCATGTTGACGCTGCTGCCCGAGAAGCAGGCCTGTTGAGACCATGGGGACGCAGGTCAAACCAGAGTGACAGCGCCCCTCTGAGCGGCCCTGTCCTCTCAGCCTTCCTTCCGTCCTTCCTCTAGATGCTGCCTCCTGCCCTGTTGCTGAGAACACACCTGACACTCAGCCAGCTCTGACGTTCCCCACGCCTGCTGCTGGGCCAGCCTCCTCGCCGCCCACGCACCCGGCCACAAGCTCGAACCCGCTGCTGGAGAGCCTAAAGAAGATGCAGAGCCCCCTGGGGAGCGCCCCTCCGGCCCGGCCCGGTGAGTTGGGAAGGAAGCCTGTGGGTCGCTCAAGCAGAACCAGCCCTGCTTGCTTAACAAAGCTGACCTGGAGCACTAGACCTGCGGAATCCCCCAGTCGTGTTGGTGTAAGGCAGGTGAACACGGCAGGGGGAGCTTTGTCTGGGTGCCTGTTGGGTGCTTACTCTCTCAACTCGACCCCTGCTGTTCTCACCAGCAGCACTGGCTGTCTGCCTTCCAGGCGCTCCCTCAGAAATATGGACATGCTCGTGAGGGGAGGCCGGTTTTTACATCCCTAGGAGACCATGCCGCCCTCCCACGAGCTTCCAGGGGTCTGTTGGCTGTGCCTGCCTCTCCTGGGGCCAAGTGCTAATGTGGGCACCCTCGACAGTCTGTGTATTGAAGTTCAGGTGGACGCCATCTTCCTGCGTCCCTGTGTGCAGCCCCTGCGCTCTGGCCAGCGTGATCTGCGGAAGGAGCTCTGGTGGGGTAATGGTTACGTGTTGGGCTGTTCCCTGCATGGTCAGCAGTTCAAATTCACCAGCCGCTGAACCGGACGGAGAAGGATGAGGCTGTCTACTACTGTAAAGCGTTCCCTAGGGAGCAGTCTCCCCTCTCTTAGAGGGCTACTAGGAGTTGCAGCTGACTCGTGGGCACTCAGTTACTGAGTGTGTAGTCTGTGAAGAGTGCACTTAGAGGCTTTGGGAGGTAAGGAACTTTGGTGGCATAGTTGTTACATGTTGGGCTGTTAACCACAAGGTCACCAGTTCGAAACCACCCTCTGCTCTGTGGGAGAAAGACAGGGTTCCCTGTTCTTGTCATTTGCCTCAGAAACTCAGAGGCCATTCTGCCCTGTCCTGGGGGCACTGGGGGCTTGTTTTGTGGGGGTCGGCATTCAGCCTGTGCTGTAGGTGTCGTCCCGGCCGCACGGTGAGGGGCCTCCCACCGACCAGCATCGCCCTGCTGGGCTCAGAAGCCCTCTTCTCAGTGAAGCCTTCTGTCTTGCAGAATCTGCTGAAGTGGCCACCACAGAGGCCCAGTCACCACTGACGACAACCAACCTGTCAGCCGTTCCTAGGGCCTCACAGTCGGAAACCTCTTCAGACTTGAAAGCCCCGGCTGCTTTCCCCAGGCTGAACCCTGAGTCCACGGTTCCAGCCCCCAACACCATCAAGTCGCCTCAGAGCCTCCAGGCTAAGACATCCACCCCACCACCCCCTGTCCCACCCACCTCGTCCCCCACCCCCAAGCCAAGTATCCTCTTTGGAATGCTGAATACCCCAACTTCCAACCCCCCTGCAGTCCCCGGGACCTCTTCAGCATCTCCCTTGTTCAAGCCCGTTTTTGGGGTCCCACCTAAGAGTGAGGACAACCCCCTGCCCACCAGCCCCTCCGTCACAACGGCTGCACCTTCCAGCTCAGCACCCCCCGCCACGTCCAGCTCCTCGACCACCTCGTTCAAGCACATCTTCAGCAGCACAGGGCCACCAACCTCGGGCTCCCTGGCGCCGCCTTTTTCCTTCAAGCAAACAGCAGCTCCTCTCTTAACCAGTTTGCCTAGTTCCACCTCCACAGCAGCCCCTGCCACCACAGCCGAGGCCCCCAAGCCCACCTTTAGCTTCGGCGGCGGCGTGGGCCCCCAGGGTGGGACAGTTGTGACGAGCGCCACCGCTTCCCAACCTTTCCTCTTTGGGGCATCCCCTGCCCCTGGGGCCAGCTTCGCCCCGGCCATGAGCCCCATGTTCCAATTTGGCAAGCCCCCTGCCGTGCCCGCCTCAACCACAGCCACCGGCTTCGGGCCGGCTCTCCCCAGTGCCGGGCAGCCAGCCCCCAGCAGCACCACTGCCGGCTTCAGTGGTCTTGGAAGCAGCCTCACTACGCCAGCCCCCACGACCACCAGCCAGCCCCCCCTGACAGTCACCACCACCCCGGCCTTCAGCATTCCTTTTGGGGCCAGCACCAAGCCCCCTCCCCCCTCCTATCCAGGAGCTACCTCCCAAGCCCCATTTGGGGCCACAGATGGACAGCAGCCGGGGGTCACCAAGCCAACCCTGGCCCCCAGCTTTGGCGGCAGCTCATTCAGTTTTGGGAACTCAGTGGCCACGGCCACAGGTGCAGCCCCCAGCACCAGCCAGCCCGCCTTTGGCAGTAACACACCAGTAGCCTTTGGTGGTCTGAAGCCCCCAGCCTCCACCTTTGGCACCCCTGCCAACACCCAGCCCGCCTTTGGCAGCACCACAGCCGTCTTCTTCGGTGCCACCGCAGCTGCCCCGGCGGCTACCACCACCACCACCACGGCCGCGAGCTTTGGCGCCACCACCCAGACCACCAGCAGTGGGGCCGGCAGCTCCCTGTTCGGCAGCCCAGCTCCATCGCCCTTTGCATTTGGGGGCTCGGTGGCACCAGCTGGCAGTGGGGGCTTTGGCATCAATGTGGCCCCCTCAAGCACCAGCACCACCCCTGGGGCATTCAACTTTGGAGTGGGACAGAGCGGGACCACCAGTACTGCTGCCCCTTTTGGGGGCACCTTGAGTCAGAACACACTGGGCACCTCCAGCCAGAGCACCCCCTTTGCCTTCAGTGTGCCCAATACGCCGGACAGCAAGCCCGTTTTCGGAGGTGAGCCAAGGCCGTCGGGGAAGCCAGGGCATCGTAGACTGGAGAGCCTTGAGGGGTTGAGGTGGGCAAAGGGGCTTTTTTTGGGGGGGGAGCCTGTTTCAGTGGGACCCTGACAAGGGTGTGGGCATGGGGTTGCGGACACGAGTGAGCATGGTGCTAGATAGAATGGATGGGGCACAAGAACGGGCAGGCACGAAGTGAGAGGGAGTGCTTGGGCAGGCTGAGATGTTGCGGTGCCAAAACGGGAAGATCTCCATCCCATTTCTGATTCATCAGCTTCGGGAAAGCACGTCCTCTTTAGGAAAGAAAGCATGTCAAGGGGGTGGAGTGAGGCGATCTTGCCACTTCAAGTAGCAGCTGGCTGTCAGGAGTTGAGCCCCTGGTGGCTTTCAGGGCTTCTCTTAGTGTTTGGGAAAATTGGGGGGGTGGGGCAATGGAGTTCGGGGGAGATGGGTCAGGGCAGGGAAAGGCACCTGTTGACAACGTGCGGAAGGACTGGCAGGCTGGACCCTGCACCGGGTCTCCAGCCAGGTTGCGTCGGGGTGTAGACCAATGGAAGCGGGCAGCTAGAAAACCCCACTGGGCTGTTTGAACTGGACTGTATAGGGGGTGGGGGCAGAGACCGGTGTCCTCAGTGAATAAAGGCGTGACAAGCAGGTCCTACACTCCCTACCATCGAGTCGGTGACCCCAGAGGGCAGGCAGCACTGGCCCCTGTATCAAAGCAGAGCTTCACCCTACTATGGAGCCACCAGTGGGCTCCAACCCTTGGTCCTGGCACTGATCAGAAGGGGCCCGTAGCAAGGGCAGCCGGCCTGGCCTGGGAAGGTGGTGGTTGGGAAGCAGCCACAGGGAGCAGGATTTTCTGCAGCCCATGAGAAGGCAAAGCCCCCTGCATTAGCGTCCAGGTGGGCTGGAGGAAACTTGACAGTCACTAGTTCTCTGGGTTGCCATGGGGAAAGTTGGGGATGAGGGGCGCAGTGAGTGGAGAAGAGACCCAGGAGAGGGGACTTGCAAGGCTTCCCCCTCCAGCAACCAACCTAGGCCGCCATGACCCTGTCCTTTTGATGGGAAGTGCTTTCTCTGCAGAGCACCCCTCCCACCCCGGGTTCCCTGCTGTGCGCTCTGCTGCCTCTGCCCACTGGCCTCAACTCCTCTGCCCTGTGCTCTCCTCCTAGGCTCTTCCACGCCCACCTTCGGGCAGAGCACGCCTGCGCAAGGAGTGGGCCCATCTGGCAGCGGCCTCTCCTTTGGGGCCGCCCCCACAGCCGCCCAGGGCTTTGCTGCCATCGGACCTTTTGGTAAGCAGCAAGTCTCTGCTACCAGTGGGGCCTGATTGTCCACTGTGGAGGGCTGGGGGACCCACTTCCCACCGGCCTTACCTGTGGAGGCCAGGCTGCTGAGCAGGGGACAGGAACCCTGCAGCTGATGTCAGGGAGGGCTCCTCTCTGAGTCCCCACTGGCCTGCTTTGTGGGGGCTTCAAGTTCCCATTTGTAGCAGCTCCTCCCAGCTCCAGAAGAGGGAGCCCCGGCTGCAGCAGGGCAGCCTACCCTGGCACACTCCAGTTCCGCTTGCTCACTGTCGAGGTTGGCTGTGCCCTGATGAGTCTTGTTGCATCTTTCCAGGATCGGCGGCCCCTTCCTTTTCCATTGGTGCGGGACCCAAGACCCCAGGGGCGCGACAGCGACTGCAGGCCCGAAGGCAGCACACCCGCAAGAAATAGTAACCTTTGTCCCTCGTCCCTACTCCCCCATCCCTGCCTGAACTGGACCTAGCACCTGCTGGCCAAGCCTGTCCCCTTACTGCAGCATGAAGCTGCCTCAGCCCACTGACCTTAGCCACCAAGGCCGTGGCCCCCCCTGGGCTCTGTCTCCTCTAGTGTCAAGGGAGGAGGGACCAGGACGATGGGCACAGCTGGGAGGCTGGAGAACTAAAGAGATGTCTGTACATGCTGCTGTTGCGTTCTTGACTCCTTGGTGTCTGAGCAGCCCCGCCCACCTCGGGAGCCACCTGCTGGGGCAGGGTAGCCCCCGAAGCCCAAGCTGGCCGGGCTGGGCTGTCTATGGCACGCCCCCCCTCCCTGCCCATCTTGCTGTGCCCTCCCTCCTGTGTCCTCTCAGGAGCTGGAGCCTAGCTGCCCTCGAGGTCTCTGGGTGGTGCTCCAGCACTGCACACCCCCCACCCCACCCCCCCGACTTTCTGCTGAGCCTGAGCCCCGTGTGTCTGCCAGCAGGGCCCAAGCGCTTAGTGGCTCAAGACTGTTAGCCCGGTGGCCTGGCTGGGAGAGCCCTCCTCTGAGAGGACGACGCTGGCCCCATTGTCCTCCAGCTGTGGAGCCAGTAGGGCTGCTCCCCCCCCGCCCCCCTGTCTCCTTTGGCCTGGGGCTGTGTGTACACCTATCCTGTGGCTGTTCTTTGGAGGAAGGAGTGGGTTCTGCGTGTGATGGTGTGGTGGGCACGCCAGGCCTGGTGTTGGAGGTTGTCTGATGAAGTGGATTGTGGGGCAAGACATGCCTGGCTCCAAGTGCTGACCCCAACTTCTCCTAGGGGCCGGTAGTACAAATGGGCCAGGGAGACCTCCTCCCACTGGCTCCCTATTCCCTGGCCTCACTGAAGGCCAGGTCAGCCCCGGTGTCAGGAAACCTGAGTGAAGGAAGCATCCTTGGTTACTCCCAGTTCTCGCCCCACGATTCTTCCTCCTTCACTCCAGAAGCCACCCCCTAGGCCCACGAGGCTCGCTGCCGTGCCCTTGGGAGAAGTGTGGATGTGTGTCTAAATTAAAAGAAAAACTATTTAAACATTTTTTAACTGAATAAAAATTTATTTTTGTATGTAAGCTAAATGGCCTTTTAAATTCCTTCAAGCATGGTTCCCTGAGGTGGCCGTGTGCAGGCCTGACTAGGAGCAGCTGCAGTGTATTGGGTTGTCCAGTGGGAGAAACACGGGCCTGGGGAGCGCTTCCTGGGCCCCGGGATCAACTTCGTGCTTATTTTATACAGTGTGACTGGTGTCCATAGTTTTTCCCTCCTTGGCAACTAAGGACGCCTCAAGCCCAGTATGTGCACGTGTAGGACCGAGGAGAGGGGCCTGCGTGAATCGCAAGTCCCTGATGTCTGTTAAGCAAGGAGGGGAATGTTCTAGAAATTCCATTTCTACCTGTATCCAGTGGGAGGTGGAGTTAGCCTTCCACAGAGGGGACAGTTGGCCCTGGAAAGGCTTACCCTAGTATGGCCGAGCGTGTGGTGCTGTGTGTGTGTGTGTATACGCGCAGTGGGCGGGAGGCTGGGGTTCCCCATGACAAAAGACGTGGGTCATGTTGAATGTAGTTGAAATTTTTAGTGACCACAGTTTCCCCTTGCTTATGTCATTATGAATAAAAGCTGTGACCCACCATGGACCATGCTGTGCTGCTGTATTTCTGTGGGCGTCATCATCTGGATGGGGAGAGGCCGCAAGGATGGGGCAGGCGCGGCCTCCTGCGGCAGGAACAGTCTCCGCTGGCCGCTCGGGCCGAGTTACATGCCAGGCCGCACACTGGCACAGGCTGCTGGCTTCTGCCGCCGCTTTCTCTTCCTCTTGAGGGCTGAAGCTGCTGTGCGTGGCTGCTCTGGTGTCTTGGTGGGAGAGGTAGAGCTGGTGGGGGTAGGGGGAGGGCACGGTTAGATGCGCCCAGAACCTTAGGCATCAGCTGAGCAGGACCCCACCTTCCTCACCTCAACACCTCCACCCGTTCCAGGACTGCTATGAAGAAGCCTCCGGTGAGCGTGGTCTCAGGGGAGGCCCGGAGGCAGTGTTCGGCACCTGGAAAGGTGCCCAGGCCTCGGTGTGGCCAGGAGGGCAGGACAGGCACCAGCCTGGAGAGGAGACGGCATGGACTTCTGGGTAAGAGTGGCTCCGCCCGCCCAGGCCCTACTTGAAGGCCCCAGTGCTGGAGCACAGGCCAGGCCCTACCTGCCTACCTGAAGGCCCCGGGGCTCTTCTGCAAAGCCTCTTGCACCACGTCCTCGTTCTCTTCCTGGCACAGGGAGCACGTGGAGTAGACGAGGCGCTGCAGGGCAGGGAAGGTGAGGGCGTGGCACAGGGCTCGCTGCTGGAACCCTGCCAGGGCCTGCAAGCGCTCCTTGCTGGGCAGGCCAGCCCCGGGCTCCTCCAGCTGTCGGGCCACCATACCTGCGGAGCAGAGAGGTGCTGTCCCAGCTGCATAGCCTGCCTGGCTCCACGTTGAACTCCATGCCATCTTCCAGACAGAACACACCAGGAGCCAGTGTTGTTCGGGGGTCACCGTTAGAAAGGCCAACTCAACCCAAGACTGGTTAGGCCAGGCTAAGCCCCTGGGATTGAGGCCCTCGGCCCAGCTCCTCCCCCTCACCGGAGCCACTGCAGGAGGGGTCCAGCAGAATGTACTGGACCTGGCGGTACCGCTGGTCGGACGGGGAGACGGCCAGGAAGTCTCTCTCGGCTAACTCACAGCAGGAGACGCCCGCCCGGGCCAGCAGAGTAGCCATTGAGGCCAGCCGCTTGGCATCCAAGTCAAAGGCAAAGATCTTCCTAGGGGTGGGGAAGGGCGAGGTGAGCCACAGTGGGGAGAGGGGTCGCCCGCCCGGTGCCTGGAGAGAACCCACACTCACAAGTCCTGCCCTTCCTAAGGCACCCTGGCAGGCTCCTGGGCTGCTAACCAACTGCTAGAATTCACCCCCACCCCCACCCCGTGGCTGCAAAAGCGAGGCTTCCTACTCCGGAGGAGGACACTTGGAGTAGCTCTATCCTCTCCTGCAGGGTCACCGGGAGTCAGATTCCACTGATGGCAGTGAACTTTGGAGTTTTCCCTGTGTAGGGTTTCTGAAGGAGCCCTGGTGCCATAGTGGTCAGCTCAGTTGGCGCTGCAATCAGAAAGGTCAGGAGTCTGAAACCCCCAGCGCTCCCCGGGAGGCTTTCTACTCCTGTAAAGGGTTAGAAACTCAAGAAGCAGTTCTACTCCATCCTACAGGGGCGCTAGGAGTCGAAGTCCACTTGATGCCCGTGGGTTTGGCTTTAGTTTGTGGATTTCTCAGGCTGTTAATTTCGCCAGGAGCAGACAGCCTCATCTTTTTCCCTCGGAGCTGCTGGTGGGCTTGAACTGCTGGCCTTGCAGTCAGCAGCCCAACGCTTAACCTGCAGAGCCACCTGGGCTCCTTTCAGCAGCACATGTGCCTAAATTGTCCGGCCCTCAGACCTACACAGTAAGGCAACGTGAAGCCAGGGCACAGGAAGATCATTAAAATGGTTCCCAAGGTCCACGGTCAGTTGCCTGGCTTGGGGACTCTCCCCCGTGTGTGGGGTCATCCCCAAGAACTTCCGAGGCCGAGGAGGAGGCGTTGAGGAAGGTGGCTTCTTTTGGCCTTCACGACTATCCAGGGTCCCCTCCCACCCTGTACGGTGGCCGCACTCACCCTTGATTCTTAAGAAGTGCAGCCAAGTGGCTAGTCTTGTTGCCCGGGGCAGCACATGCATCGATGACATGGGCGCCCGGCGGCGGGGCCAGCAGCATGGCTGGGAGGCAGCTGGCCTGGCAGAGCAGAGCACAGAAGTTGGGTGGACCTAAGCCCAAGCCCGGGCTTGCCATGCCCCTGCCTGCCATCTTCTACCGGCCTGCCTTCCCTACCTTGTCTTGCAGGATGAGGTGGCCGGCCTGGTATAGCGGGTGCTCGTGCAGGTCCGTGTGTGAGGGGAATACCAGCAGCTCTGGCAGTAAGGGGTCCAGCAGGAAGTGTTTCCCCTTGAGGGCCCTCAAGTCCTCCAGGCTACCAGGAGAGAGGGCAGGAGCAAGGTCTAGGAACCGAGAACTCAGAAGTCGGTTCCCCAATTCCTCCAGGCCAGATGGGACCGGACACATGCCGCTTTCACGGTGGATTCGTGGCAACACCTATTCAAAGCTGCTTTTAGAATCCCCGGTGGCTTAATGGCTATGAGCGGGGCTGCGAACAGCAAGGTGAGGGGTGGTAACCACCGGCCGTCCCAAAGGAGAAAGACGGGGCTCTCCACTCCCCTAGTGAGTTCCTGCCCCAGAGGGTTGCTGTGAGTCCGCACCGACTCGATGGCCCGTGGTTTGGAAGAAACGAAGCAGGGTGGTAGGACAGCGGCAGCAGTCAGCTGTGAGGAAAACGGCTTCTCCAGCCTGATGGGCTGGGTCAGCATCCCACCTTGGCCATTTCCTAGTGGGTGGAGGCTGGGCCGGAGAAGGGACCGGCCCTCTGTGCACGCATGTCTCTACAATGGCTGCTGTGAGGACGAAATGGGTTACCTCAGGACAAACACTTAGAAGACAGCATGGCCCGTACCAGCAGCCATAGCGATCACAGCACAGCCACGGGCAGCGGATGAACCCAGGGAGGAGGGGGATCTGGGAAGGCAAGATCGGAGCTGACTCCTGAAGGAGAAGGAGCTACGTGTGGGGCTGAGGGTCAGACTCCCCAGACAACAGGCCTTAGAGTGTACCAGGCGCCCGAGCTGGGATTGTGGTCCAAACAAAGCCACTCTTCACAGCACTGCCCTGGAGTCCCAAGGAACTAAGAAGGAAAGAAAAGTGTGTGTGTGTGTGTGTGTGTGTGTTCTGTGTGTGGTCTCGGGGAGTTGTGTGCTCCTGGGGTGTATAGTTAAGTGTCTGACTGCCAACCAAGAGCTTGGTGGTTTAAACTACTGGCTGCTCCATGGAAGAAATGCGGCAGCTGCTTCCGCCCTGGAAACCCCGAGGAGTGCCTCTGCTCTGTCTGAGCGGGTGCTGTAAGTCAGCTTTGACACCACGAACCCGGGGGTTTCAGTTGGGAGGGAGCAGCCAGAGGGGACTTCTCAGGGTCATGGAAGGACAAAGCAGCAGGTGGGTGGGTGTCAGTCCCAGGGAGGGTGGAGGAGCATTCTGAGCGGAGAGCAGCTGGGGATGGTGCCAGATGATGGGCCTGGCGTGGGAGTGGGCGGAGCAACACCAGGGGAACCCAGGGAGGGCAGCCATGGGGCAGTGACAGCATCAGAGCTGGTTCTCAAGCTTTCTGCAGCCAACCACCGGGACGGATGAAGCCATGGCGTCTGCCAAGTAGGGAGACCAGCGGACAGGATTCTTTTTCCAACCCGGCAGGAAAGAACGAGGGCCCCAAGCTAGGTACTGCCAAGAGGAGGACGGAGGAATGGCTCTGAGAGAGAGGACAGGAGGACAAGGGGTAACCTCCAGCTGACTCAGGTCCCAGCTCTGGGCACACAGAAGGATAAGAGTGGTAGCCAGAGGTTACACAGATGGTGAAGAGTCTAAGAAGGAAGATGCTTACGGCAGTTTGACATCTGCCGTGATGATTTCCGTGAGACGCTGTGGGAACCTGAGGGAGGAGGAGCCAGAGGACTCCAGCCTGGAGCTCAGGATGCATCAGGTTAGAGGTAGAAACTAGAGAGAATGAGCTTGGATGGGACTTCAGAGAGGAGAGCAGCCTTAGGAGACGGAGGCCATGCTGGGAAACAGGAAGTAAGCCCATAGGGTGCCACCTCTCCCCAACACACGGTGCCCCTGGATGAGGGCCGCGCAGGCAGGTGTCACACTCACCTGGAAGCCCGTCCCTGGTACGAGAAGCCCTGTCTCTTGAGGTAATCAATGGCATCATCAATGCAGGTCTTGAGGGTGTTCACCCGCACAAACCGAGGCATCTGGAGGGCTGTGAGCAAGGAGTGAGCAGCAAGGTCCTCCTCTCTGAGGACCCCCATGGCTAGCCCCCACCCCAGGAGGCTTCCCAGCTCACCTGAACCAGGATTGGATCCCAGTTCCAACAGGTCCTCATTCCGGCTCACCCCTCGCTGAACCTTCAGCCGGGCCAACTCAGCCTTGAGCCTTGCCTGGTGCCTGGCCAGCAGTGGCTTCCAGCGGCCCCCACCCCTTTGAAAGCCCTGTCCCAGCAGCAGCTCGTACACAAGTACCTGGGGACGAAAAAGTGGGAGGGATGAAGAACAAAGCCTCAGAGCCAAAGTAGGAACCTTGGTGGCACAGTGGTTCCGTGTTAGGCCGCTAACTGCAAGGTCAGCAGTTTGAAACCACTAGCCAGCTCTGGGGAAGAATGGCAAGAGTTTCTTTTCAAAACCCACAGGGGCAGTTGACTCAATCCTACACGGTCGCTACGAGCCAGGATTGTTTGGGGGTAGTTTTGTGTTTTTTAGAACTAAGGTGAGCGAATTACCTTATCAAGGATCACACATGCATCTGGGGGCAGATCCGGGATTGAACTGGCACCCCATCCCTCCTCCTCTTGGACAGCACCTTTCTGTTTGTCAGTGTCTTCCATACTTGGTACACACACACACACACACACACACACGGCTGGAAGTCAATGCAGCAGGGCCCTCCAGTCTCAGTATGTCACCAAGTATGGGCTGGCTCCTAAACACTCATGGTACTAGTGCCAGGATGCGGTCTGGGATCCCGTCACTTGCGACTCGCAGTAACGCTTTGGGGCAGGGGGAATTGTGCCCTGGGAATCCCGGGGGTTGGAACGCTTTGCGGGAGCACAGCCTCCTGGAGCCGCTGGAGGGTTCCACCCGCCCACCTGGAGGCTAAGCAGCGCGGTGGGCGGGGCCTCACTCGCCCCGCCCCCGCCCCTCACCTTGGCCACGTGCGGCCGCAGCTTCTTCTCGGCGCGGAGGAGTCCCGCGCTGGCGATGACGGCGTCCAGCACGGCCGAGTAGCGCTGCGTCTCGCACACCAACGCGTACAGCTGCCTCACGTTCTGCGCGCGGCCGGA